GACGACACAGAAGATGGGCTTTTATGTGCAGGCGTAGACTTTTAGCCTTTAACAGGAATTTTTCTAATAATCCATGCACGTTACCTTCACTGGATATTTTATTTTTCAGGCCTAACTTTTACCACAGTGCAGCTGCAGATGCAGCTGCAGCTGCAGAGGGGGAACCCTCAGTACACCAGATACAAGAAATGGCCACAGTTACAGATGAAGCTGTTCTTCGGTGTGCAGCAGACACCGCCCGACCTCACAGCCCTTCATCAACCAGCAGTAACTGCCCGGAGCCAGTTTGTTATTCAGTGGAAGCCATGCTTGGACCTCAGCTGTACAGGTCTTTCCCTAGCTTCTATAATACTCCTGAGAGCAAAGAATCTACTACCCCTTCTGCCGCAGAGACCACCACCGAGGCCACTTTAGGCTCCACGACACAAAAGGAAGTTCCCTATTCTGTTGATGCAGTCCTCAGGTCCTTAAAATCAGTGGAAAATTCAACCCTCGGTCAAAGACCCACTGCTTCAAGTGTAAAAACTGAGGAAATCCCGGATCCTCTCTTAAGTTCACAACATCAAGTACAAAAAGTCTCACTGAGTATCAAACATGAGCCAAACAAACCCTTCAAGAAAATGTACAAGAGCCTGTCTGCCCTACAAGCGCACGGCAGCCTGATTTCTAGCTCTGAGCTTATTCTTTCCTCTGGTACTCAGCAATGTGGAGCTATACCAGAGTCCCTGAAATCTGCTGAAATGGCTTTTCATGAAGTTAAACTGGAGCGTTTGCATCCTCCTGTTATAGATGAAGATAATCCTACATCTTCCAAAAGCAAATCAGACATGAATGAAAGCTCACAGCTTCCTGCAGATAACACCCGTCCTCCTAAACATCTCTCGGGTATTTCTCCCTCTTCAGGCGTCTCAGAGTTTAAAAGCAGAACTTCTGATCCTGTCGAACCTGCAGATAGCTCCATTAAGACGAGTGACTCTGCAAACATTGCCGTTCACCATTTTGCAGCACAGCAGCTTGCTGAGATCCCTCGGTACCCAAGAAAGACAAAATCTGTCTTCCGACCCGGTGCACAGAAACGCTGTTCTGCTAAAATGTCACCGGAGTGCAGCAGGGAGACTCCAACTCTGTCCGATTGTTCAGCCGGACGTAAAAAGACTCAGAAAATCCCCTTCAGTTGCCTTTTTAAAAACCCAATCACTGAGAGCGTGACACCGACACCTGACCCAGTGAGAGCCTCACAGTCTGCACATTTCACCAGCAAAGAAGGACATTTAAAAACGGAAGTCAAACCTGAGAAAACCT